TAAATTGTAATGATTTTTTAATATGATATTATAAATTTAATAAATCTCATTACTTTTATAATCTCTTTGACTAAAATAATCATAAGCCTGTAATCGATCTTTAATTAAATAAAAAGAATCAAGCATAAGATATAGTTTTTGAGTCGTGACCAAAAGAGATGATAGATTCAGCACGAAGCAGCAGAAATGAAAATGAAAACTCGAAAATTAGACTCTTAAGAGTGATGATATACATGCACTGACACCTTTGCCGTGGAATTCTAGTTCCTGCACTACTTACACTACAGCATCTTGAGTATATATCATCAAGTCAAGAAGTGTAAAATGTTTTGAGTTCAGGTCTGCTCTGGATTTCACTAACTGATACATCTGTTCTTCTTGGCGAGATCGATCTTATGCGAGCTTTATTGTACCAAAAACAGTGATAAATTTGCTAGAAAATGGTGAGCAAGGAGCACCTCTGTGGAGTCAAGTACATGTTCTGGGAACCTTCAAATAGTGTTTCACCTTTTTTTTTCCCAGTTCAAACGTGCTTTTGGGCCTTTGGCATCAAGATTAAGAGTGAATATTTTGAAGCCGAGCTCATCGCCCCTGAAAATGGCAGTCCTGAATATGAAAGTCGCGGTTGGATTCTAATTCCCTAATCATTTTCCGTCTCCTTTTCTTTTCCGGGAAAGCACAAACACTTGCCCGCTACTGATAATTTATTTTGCGAAGCCAAAGTGTGTGGTAGAAGGCTTCCTTTTGAGCAATAATTGGCTGGATATGATGAGAAACAATAATATCCCAGAGAAGAGAAGATTCCGTGGATTGGGTAAACAATATAGAATCATCAATGGCTAGTCAGCTATGATATCATTTAGACCAAGAAGAGGTTCTTTTTAAGCATATATGGCCCTCGTCCCTTCCACAACACGAGCCATAACCACACACATATATTTAATGAAAATAAATGCTCCTTTTTTTCTTCTTCTTTTTAATCACTTCAATGGCTTGCCTTATCCTCTATTCTTGGTGGAAAACTGGAAATTATATTTTATTTTAGGTTTCAAGTTGAGTCACCATCAACTAGCATTTTCTTGTGCCACTAGTTTCCTTTTTAGAATGTTCTTCTCTTCTTTCAAGGTTAATGACCTAAATGGCTTTTCTTCTTTCGGCTTAAAGAGGGATATTAATTAATTTTTATGAGATGAAAGATAGCTAGCTTATGGTGTGTGCGTGTGTCTATATATATATATATATATATATATATAATAAGTGAAATAATCATTTAATTCAAAATTTTAAATTGTTAGGAGATTTTTAAAATAATTTTATTTTATTTTTTAAAATATTTTTTCAAGTACAAATCTTTTAAACTTAAAACATATATATATTTATAACTATTTTTATTAATTTAATTAGATAAAATGAAATGGTAAAAATTCAGACTCTTGAACATTTTATCATTAAAGATTTGATATTATATTAAATAATTATTTTAATTTAAAAGTTTAAATTATTTGATAAGGTTTAAAGAATGATTTACATTGTTTTTTAACATTATTTGTTTATCTATTTTAAAGAAAAAAATATGTTTATTTTTTATAATTATGATATTCTTCTTGTATCAAAGTATTATTTCTAAATATTCATAATTAATACTATATTAAAATTGAATATTAATTAGAGCTATTAAAATTGATAAATATTATATTTTTCTTTTATGAAAAGAAGCAACGGTTCTTATAAATTAAAGTATAAGTGATACCTAGAACTAATATATTAATGATTGTTATATAATTTAAACATTGAACTGACCTACATGATAATTTTATATAAAAAAATAATTTATATCTCAATTTTCCGATAACATGTTATAGATGACAAGCAACCTTTTATAAGGAAAAAAAAAAGGATGAGAAAAAATATGACAGGCTAAATGTGCATGTCTCCTTCGTGTCCATGCTCCTAGACTTTTTAATAGGCTTATGATTTTTTTATTAATCATTTGGATTTCTTGATTTTTTATTTTTATTTTTTCAGTTTGAGTTATTTTTTAAATTTTATCTTTTAATAAAAAAAATTATTTTCTTTGGATTTTTTTCCTCCTTTTGATCTCTTTTTTTTTTCCTTTCAATTATATCCTATGAGTTTGTTATTAATTTTATGTTTTAGTGTTAGATTGATGGTAAATTGATTTTCATATTTTTTATTATATAATAATTTTTTTGTCAATTTTTAATTTGTTTTTATCTTTTATTTTTTTTTCCAATTCCATAATTTAATCAAGGTTTTTAATAGCTTTGGATTTTTTTGACCCTTTTTCCCTCAATTCTATCTTTCAATAAGAGTTTCCCCCCTGTAAATCTACCTATAAACAAAGTCATATAATAATTTAATTTAAAATTTTTAGTTATTATTACGAGATTCTAAAAATAATTTTATATTATTCTTTAAAATAATTTTTTTAATAAAAATTCCTTTAAAATCTATATGTGTTTAAAATAATTTTTTTAATAAAAATTCCTTGAACTTAAAATCTATATGTGGTCATAACTAATTTTATTAATTTAATTAGGTAGAATAAAGTGGTAAAAATTCAAACTCTTAATCATTCTATCATTAAAGATTTGATGTTATATTAAATAATTATTTTTATTTAAAAGTTTAAACTATTTAATAAGTTTTAAAAAATGGTTTTACATTGCTATTTAACATTATTTGTTTATCTATTTTTTAAAAAATATGTTTATTTTTTTTATAATTATAAAATTCTTATTGCATCAGAGCATTTTTTCTAAATGTTCATGGTCATTACTTTATAAAGACTAAACATTAATTAGAGTTGTTAATATTGATATATATTATATTTTTCTTTTATGAAAAGAAGCACGAGGAATGTCTAAAACTAATATATAAATTATTGTTATATAAAATATATATTGAACTAACCTATTTAAAAATTTTATATAAAAAAATTATTCATGTTTAAATTTTCCAATAACATGTTCGATCATAATGGGAGGAAAAACATTTTTATTTTATAGATGACAAGCAACCTATTGTAAGAATAAAAAAGGGCAAGCAAAAAAAAATGAAGGGCCTGATATTTTTTTATTATGCAGGTCTCCTTAATGTTTGTGCTCCTGATATTTTTTTAATAGACTTATAATTTTTTTTATTGGTCATTTAGGTTTTTGATTTTTGATTTTGATTTTTTTAGTTTGATTTTTTTTAATTTTATTTTTTAACAAGAGTTTTTATTATCTTTGAATTTTTTGCTCTTCTTTTTTTTCCCTTTCAATTATATCATTTAATATGATTTTGTTATTAATTTTATATTTTAGTGTTTGAGTGATGGTAAATTGATTTTCATATGTTTTTTTTTATCATATTATAAAAGTTTTTGTTGCCAATTTTTAATTTCTTTTTATCTCCTCTTTGTTTTTCCAATTCCATAATTTAATAAGAGATTTTTAATAGCTTTGAATTTTTTGAACCTTTTTCTTTAAATTCTATCTTTTCATATGAGATTTTTTTCTTCTCTCTTTAGATTTACCAATAAACAAAGTCATATTAAAATTATCTTCATACAATTTAATTTAAAATATAGATTAACCAAATAATTAGGTTAAAATTTTTAAATTTTCAACCGTGGTATTAAATTTCATGAAAATACCAAAAAACTCCTAATAATCTAAATATTATTTTTTTATATTTAAATTTTTGTTTATCCAATCCTATAAACTAATAACCGACTACATATACTCAAAATTTGCATGCCTCTTAATTAACTCTGTAGTTACATGTAAGATAAATACATAACTAGCTAGAAAGAAGTTGGAGGTCTGTCTGTTATTAATGGCTCCTATCGAAAGAGTCAGCTAAGACATTTGTCATAGTATATAAGGATAAATGAAATTTTTATTTTTAAGTTTTAAAAATAATTTTTATTTTAAAATAATTTTTTTTAGGTATTTTAAAATTATTTTATATACTAATATTAAAAATAATTTTTAAAAATAAAAAATATTATTTTAAAAACAATCATAATTACATTCCTAAATACCCCGTAAATCTTTTATGGCCAAATTATAGATTAACTTTTCTATTATTTTAAATTAATTTTTTAATTTTTTAAAATTATTTTAATATATTAATATTAAAAATAATTTTTAAAAATAAAAAAATATTATTTTAAAAACGAACATACCCGTAAATCTTTCTCCCAAGTTGATAGGCTACGCCGTTTTATCTTATCAATGTCTTGCAATGTTTTACGAACCATGCCTGTTACTGGATGGGTTCGACCATATTCCTTCTCTTCCACGTTTTCAATGGTTTTGGAAGTAAATGTTTTTTTTTTTTTTTTGTGGTTTTCTTAATATTATTGTTGTTTTATTTACATTTTCCTTTTCTTTTCTAAAAATGGTTTTAAATTGCTATGCAACTAGCTCATTGTATATTCACAGGGCCAATAACTAATGCACTTGGTGTAAAAAACTAGTTTCAAAATAATTAAATTTAATTTTGACATAAAAAATTATTGGCTGGGACCGACAGACATCAAATAAGTTTTTACGTTTTGAAAAAATAAGTTTAAGAAAAAATTGTAAATTATAGCCTTTTTTTTTTTATTTAAGATTCAAGAGAGAATTTTAAATAAAAATTATAAAAAATTTATAATGAACCAGATTTAATAGGTATTTAAGAATGTAGTAGCAATTATGATTTAGATTTTTTTTAAATATATTAAAATAATTTTTTTTATTTTTTAAATATTATTTTGGATATTAACATATTAAAATAATATCAAAATATAAAAAATAATTTTAAATAATAAAAAATTATATTTAAATAATAAAAACGTGATTTCGAGGCATTCCTAAACTCTGCTTTAACCAGACACGATAAAACCTGTAATAGAGATAAAACGCGTGCTAACCATAATGCTAAACAGAGTCTATAGCTTGATCCACCGCCAGTTCCCAGAAAGGCCCGCAGCCCATAGCACAAGAACAATCATTAGTGAAATGGCTCCCTCCCGCTCTGTCCGGGAAAAGGCCAAAAAGTATACGAGAAAAGAAAAGAAAAAATTGGAAAATCAAAATGACCGCTTAGAAAAGTCATAACCCCAGCCAAAGAGAATGCAGAGGAAAGCAACGGAGACTGTACGGACTCAAATGGAGTCTCTGCGGTTGATATGCGACAGAGATGCCAAAATCCAACTCCAGAAAGTGGATTCCTTCATGGCGTCGTTTTGCAACACTCTGGATTCCACCAAAGCCATAGTAGAAGAAACTATGCAAAATCAAGGTCAGAAAAAGAGTGGCATTGCTCAATTCTTCACTTTACTCTAGTTAGCCTTTGTTGTTGTGTAGCTAGTTCCGGAAGTTAAGCTGTTTTGTTTTGTTTGGGGATCGAAGTAGGGTTTTCAAAATCGTGTGATTCTTTTTCTTCTTTTTGCAGGGAAGTCAGGGAGGTTGAAATCTAGCTTGAGAGAAGCTGATGATGAATTTGTTAAAGTTCTGGCAGGTTTCTCTCTCTCTTCTCTCTCTCTCTCTAACCAATTTTCAGTGAATTTATACTGGCATTTTCTGTGATGTTAAAAAACTTTTTTTTAACATTTCAATATTTGATCTTTTGAAGTGTCTGGTTGGTAATCTGGACGTGAAATCTTAATTTGTGTGTTTCAGGCAATTTAAATACGAGTGCTAATTACTTAATTAATTAATTGATTGTGAATGTGCATTGCTACTTTTAAATGCTACTATGATTTAAGTTTGTGGCTAAAAAAATCAAATACCTAATGCTTTAAACATGCAGCCGTCATTACCATTTTCGATGGAAACTTTATGTTCTGGGAGGGCTGTATTGTTTGTTTGCAGTTAGCGCTATTGTGTTTTTCTAGTTGATTTTACTGTTTTTAGCATTAACCTCTAATGGAAGACAGAACAAATTCATTCCCTTGTGCTGAATTTGTGTATTTGAGTAACTCTTAATCAGGTTGTGCTTTAATTTTTATTTCCTTCTGGAAGCCTAAAGTTGCAAAGAAATAACTTACTCCCACTTGCCGATCATCTATATATTTTGATGTTTTGTTTATTTACCATTTGTATGCTTGAGTTCATAAATTACCATGCTATTTTTGAAACCCTTAACTTAAGAAATGATATAAACTAGTGGCACATAATTTTCTTTTTTGGATTCGAGGAAACCTTAACCCACTGGAAAGCGCATTTGTGGGCTTAGGTGAGCGAGTAAAACCTCAGCTGTTCAGACTTTTATAAAAAATGCACGCCCTAACTCAAACTCAAGACCTGTTGTGCAGATCTCAAGTCCTTTACCATCATGCTATGCCCCTTGGGGACTAGTGGCACAAAATGTTTAGAAGAAACAAATATATGCTATTTGGAAGATGAAATGCTATGGTTTTCATATTTTGTCTGACACAAAATTAGCTGAAGAAGGGAAGCAAGGACTTTTTTATTTTTATTTTTTAAAATTGGGACTCTTGGTTTCTTAATAAGAATGCTGGAAAAGAGAAGAGAACCATTAGTGAAAATTTGTGTTTTTATCTCCAAAAAAATCCATTCTCTGCTTAAATTTTTATTTTTGTTTTCGTGAGATACAATGCTTTAAAACTGATGTCCATTTGCTTCTTCTTATTTTTAATTTGTGTTCTCTTACAGTTAAGACTCGGAAAGAGGCTAAGCAGATGGCAACAAGGGAGTCAATATCTGCTACAAGAGCTAGAATACAAGAACTTCAAAGAAGTGTTCTAGTTCAAAGAGCTAGAAGGGATGAGTTTGCAACGATTATGTCCCAGCTATCTCTTGGTATTATTATTTTCCTTTGTTAGCTGATTGTTAATTGTTCAGACGCTGACTCCATTACCATAACAGTGCATTTCCTTTTTATTGTTTCATTAACTAACTTTATTGAAAAGAGATTTTTGTAGCATAGACTATGCCTGTGAAATTGATGATTAAATCGTGTTCTTAACATGAGTGGGGTTAGATTTTGGTTCCTACTGAAATAGAAACAAAGGTTTGGAAGGTTGAGATTTGTTGGATGTGTTTTCACATTTCTGACTTGTCAGGGCCGTAATGAAACTCATGCAAACATCCATTAGGATGCATCAAGACTGTAGAACTCAACTATTGGTGGTTAGTTTTAATGTAACATGTGAGCTGAATACATAACCTGGCTTATATTTGATTGGAAAAGGAATTGTTAGGTCTGAATTCATGATGTTTATTAATTTTTAGTTCGGACATCCTCAAATTCTAGCAAGCTGTGATATTTCATATGTTTGCTTCTTCATCAGTCACCTATGAAACCATATTTGAGTTTTGTTCGATTTGCCTTTTCCAATCTCCTGAGTATGTAAATTATGTGGTTAAGTTGCTTATCGGTCTCTGCTCTCAGCCCTTTTCCTTTGGCGTTGTTGACAGCTTTGGCAACATCTGAAGAAATAGAACACCAAGACATTGACCATAAAAGGGATATTCAAGAGGCAATGTTATGGTACAATAGGGTTCTTGGCTTCAAAATTGAAGGCGGCCAGGGGAATCATAGCCACTGCATTTTTTTAATACTCATCTTTTTTTTTTTTTCCTGTGTAAATTCTGTACTTATGAACTCTTGATATATTTAGGGGTAAAATTCACACTCAACAACATCAATTTGAAAAATCAAGATGAGGAGTGTTCTTTCACCATTCGCCATGAAAATGATATGTACACATGTAAGTAATGTATGCATTTGGTTATCAAGTAGTTCCAATTTTCAACTAAACTAAATCTGTCCATTCTAGTTCTGATATGGGCTAAATTGTTCATGGTCTGTTGTTTGAATATATTCTTATTATATTTAAAGTTTCTTTTCTGCCTAATTTGCAGTGTTGGGTTGTGATCCACAATTGAATGAAACCAAACAGTTGATCCTCGAGTTGAATAAAACCAATGGCTTGTTCAAATTTGTCAGAAAAATGAGAGAGAAGTTTCAAGAATCTGCATCACTTGGTACAGTTTTAATTGTTGCGTTCCTTTAACTTGCCTACTTGGGAGAAGATACTTTATGAATAATGGGCACTTGCTTTCTCTTTTGTGCAGCATCTTCCATGCACTTGTTCAATATTTAGGCAAACATAAATGTTGGTTCCATATGACATGCTAGTTGCTCTTCTGGGACAACTGCCAAAAGTAGAGAATTTTGATGAATAGGCTTTTATCTTTGCTGTTTAATTGCAAATTTTGGCACTCATAAACTATACTATTGTGTGTTCAATCATATGATGCATTAGGATTTTTGCCTCAAACCACAACTCTTTACCAAGAATCTGCAACAGTATCTGTGTCTGCTCCAGCTCTTTCAATCTCCAGTGACACAAGTGAATCTCCAACGAAGACAAGCAAAACACCAAATAAACATATAAGAAATTCCAAAGGCAGCCGTGGCCGTGGAAGAGGGAGTCGAGCAATCATGTCTCCTGTATCTGTTCGACAATCTCCACGTTTTAAGGTAACATCATTTTGATTGCATAGGAAGTTCTATAGCTTTCCCACCACCAAATACCATCTGCATAATATTTAGACCTTTTTTTCATGCAATTTAACTCTAGGCAATTAGTGGAGGATGACAATTGAAAAAATAATGGCTTGAAATTAGTTTTCAAATTGATTTAAACAACAGTACTGGATTTCACTAGGCAGTATTCCTCTTCACATGTCTGTCACTATCATTCCTTGAACTTTCTTCTTTCTTATCTTGCTCTTGCAAAGACATTCTCCCCCTTTCATCCTTAAATTTAGGCATTTTTTGCTCATTATGTATTTATTACAACTCACATTTGAGTTCTTTGACATTTGTGCTATACAACTTTGAGTGATGGATTTTCTTGATTTGGAATTTGTGGCAGGCTAAGAAATGAAGAAGTAGAGGCAGCTTTTGAACTTGCTTGTGTGCAGCTAATCATTGTTTGTGACTAGGTTGCTTTCTGGCTTGATAGTTGATGTGTGGCACGGAGCCTTTTTATACATTTTGGAAAATTAACTGAAAGCGAATGGAGACTCTCTCCAGCAGATCATGTGCCACTTATCAGACATGATGACCTAAACAAGGAGCCCAAGCCAGCTGCACTAGTGCATTTATGCTGTGCTTTCTGGTAATCTGAATTGATGATGGAGGAATGAAATGTAAGGGTCCAAACATGATTATATCCCTTTTGTTGATATCTAATCTTTGGATTTCTTCTTTTTTAAAGCACAATGTATTAAAGAAAGAGCTTGGCTTAATATAACAAGAACAAAACTAATCATTACATCAACTATAATGCTCCCTTAGTCTCTCTTTTTTTTCGCATTTCTTGTTTCCTATGAAATGGAATTATGCAAACTTGTAAACTTGTGGAAATGAAATAATCCCCTTTATTAATTTCAGAAATTGAACTCAATCTTATATTCTCCCTGACCCTATTTTGCAAGAATATAGCATTACCATCCCTTTATTCTAAATGCAAATTTAAATTATCCATCACTATTTTTATTGGCCCCTGCTCTTATGAATCCCTTTATTAAGTTATAAGTAAATTAATAGAGCTTCTAACTTGTAAATACACATGACTCCTAAATATGTATTCTCAATCACATAGAAGAACATGCTGTGCTGGTGGCGGATACAGATATCTTTGCAGCAGTGCATGGGTCTGCATCCAAAGTTTCTGTGCCTCTAATTCATCATTTGCTAGAGCTGAGCAGTTACTTTCATTACAGTCTGCAAAATATTTTCCACTCACACCTTCTGTTTGTGGACTCAAAGCAACATAGCATGTGGTTGATGCATAAAAAATATTTTTTTTTACTGGATCAGAGCTAGTTCAATATATTTTTAGCTTTAAACTATACTCAGTTTTACAAAAATAATAAAAAATATCTTTACTGTTCATAAATTTTCTCCACAACAAACACCAAAGAGTTGCTTCTTAAAAACTTGAGGCAAAACCACACTTAATAATAAACCCTATAATATAAAATTGCTTTTATTATAATATAAAACATCTACAGTATCGAACAGCACCTGAAAAACATGTTCACTTGGGCAACATATACCTGGTTGGTTATCCACCTAGATAGCACTTAAACTACTTTGCCAACCCTTGATATGGTTTGTACCGCATGTTAAATGTCCACGTGTTCCCCTATCACAACGAAACGACTTTAAAACATTAAAGTATGCTGATATCAAATAGGGTATCCCTATGACATCACTCTTTCTTCCCAACAGTAAGTTACCAATCACTAGTTTCTTATCTTTCTTCAGAATTTACACACTGTGATCAATGTGTAATAATTAATTAGATTGTTTTTTTTTTTTTTTTTTTTTTTTGAGTTTTCTCCTCTTCTCCCCGCTCTTCTTTATATGTAATCTCTCTCTTATAATGTTACAAGTATGTAGGTGAGTATCATAAAAGTCTTCTAATTAACAGGGCAGACCAGGGTGACTTGTACCTTGAGCTTTGTGGCTATTTCCTTGACATGCAATATATTAGCCAATTTTGATTGAGAATATGCACTTGTACCATCATAACTGCAAAAGTTGAAAACCAAATATCAAGCTTAATTTTTGCCTAAACCCATAACAATAATTTCTTCCATTATGATTGCTCCATCTGTAATTTTCCTACAAGCTGTTAATGACCTCTATACTTATGATTTGTTAGATCCTTGGTAACTGTTATTATTGTTCTTATGTTATCTTTATTACTTGGAATGATGTGGTTATTTAGCCCAAGCTCTCACCCCTTAGTACTATTGTCTCATCGCCCTCAAATGATAGATGGATCTTTATTTATATTTAATATACTGAAATTAAGAAAAAGGAGAGTGATCTTACTTCCTTGGGTTTAGCATTTTGCTGAAACAAAAGGCATCTCTCTTCACCCAGCTGTGAATTGCAGAGGAAAGATTTATTATTCTACCTTGGATGCCTGTTTGCTGTGCTGTTTCTATCATTCTCTCTAATAGCAACTCTGTCAACAAAAAATGTCCTGCAGATGGGCCCCAAGGTTATACTTGATGATAAAGACTGTTTTTCCACCTGCTTGCTAACACTTGTTATAATAAAATGTCATGTTTTCTGTCTTCTTTTTATTGCTTCTTTATTTTTTTATTTTTTTATTTATTTTCAAATCAATTCATGCAATCTATCAAGATTAATTTTTTTTTTTTAACTATTTTGAAAACTGATTTTTATCTATTGAAAATAAATAAATTTATCTAGTTGCTAGTTCTCAATATTCAAATTCAGAGAGTCAGAGAGAAAGCATATCTTCTTTTTAGTCACTATTTGAGAGTGAATTTTAAAAAATAAAATAAAAAATATTATTATTATGTATTTTTAAACAAAATACAATTTAAAAAACAATTATAACTATACTTTTTAACATTCTTTTAAAGCTTGCGTGTTTTCATAATATATTTTGTGTTTTTGTTGAATCATAGTTATTATAGTGTTTGGTAAAAAAAATAGCTGTGAAATTGGTGGGAATCACCAATAAATTAGATTCAATATCAGTTATTAACAAGCATCCAACATTGATTTTTGCTTGTGGTTCACGTGATAACTTTTCTTTATCTTTCTTTATACCCTTGATAACCTAACAAATTAACATAACTTTCTTCTTATTCTTCTCAAGAGAGATACAATAACAACTCAAGCTAGATCTATCGTAGATTTACAAATCATCTCTTAAATTTCACCTTTAATTATTTTAAGAAACAACCCTAGGAGATCTACAAATCTTCCTTTGGATTTTGTTAAGTGGAACCGTGCTTCACACCAATATTAAATATAAATTGCTTTCCAGTACTTTTAAATGAATTTATTATTGACTTACATGTGTGATTTGTCGTTCTCTTGTTTTTGTTGCTTGTTAACTTAGATATATGCTTGCAACTTTAGAATTTTTAAAGTTATCTTTCTTGTCTTAGATTTTTCCTATTGATTTAGAGATAGAACAACATCTGTTTACATCCTTTTATGGAAAGATGTTTATATAATTATTGATTTTACATGGATATCAAACTTAAATAGGTATCCTCCTCTTTAGCTTAATTCTTTTTTTTTTTAAGCAGGTGGAAAGATGATTTTTTTCATCTTTTTTTTAATATTTTAGAGTTCTCTTTTGATTGATGAACTTTGAAGTTGAAAAAGAAATATGTTTGATAAATTGGTTAAATCTTATGATAACAAGTAACATCTCAAAGAGCAAATCTGGATAAATATCTTAGATTTTTATTCGCGATGAATAGAAAATAGTTTTTATTTTGGATAATTTACTCTTCTTGTTAATGATTAGACTATACTTACAATATTAAATAGTTAATTATATATTTGAAATAGCTTATCAAACGAAGCAATGAAAGATCCTCAAAGTTAAGACAAAACTTCTTGAACTAAAAAAATATTGCACATTTTTTGTGATATTTGCATCAAAACTATTGAGATATGCATGAGATCATATACTCATTTTGAGAAAGCCGATTGGAAATTTATGATAACTGCCTTCAAGGAAAAAACTAACCATGCTTTCACTGAGGCATACTTGAAAAATAAATGGGATGATATTAAAAGAAAAGGAATTGGAGGATATAGAAAATGTTAACTTATAAAATTGGAGTTGGTTAGAGTAGTAAATCAAGGACTATTTTTACAACTGAGGAGTTATGGAAACAAAAATTCCACATCAGTTGTTAATATCTTCATCCTTTTAATTTCATTTGTCTTGTTAAATTATTTTATTAATTCATAAAGTTTCATTAATTATATTTAATTTTTATTACATATAAATTAGAGGAGTAAAAAAGTTTTGGCATACTAGTATTGAGCTGTAATTATGGGCAAATACAATATAATATTCAATAATATTGTGACTATTGGACAATATGCTCGAGCTCCCTCTTCAAGAATGTTGTATGATGAAGATGATAGGGATGATGGAGTGAGGAATAATAATGATAATGATATTAATCTGAATAAAGTAGTGATTCGGAGGAGGATGATATTCGTAATTTTGTTGATGAAGTGAGTTATATGGTAGTTGAATTCAATGTTGCAAACAACAATAACAACCATAGTAGTGGCAAGAGAAAAACAACACAACATTCTATATCTCAAGGTGGAAAAAGAAGAAGGAATAAGAGCATAATTATTTTCATGTGTTGGATTGACTGATTAATAATGTTTCGATAAAGAGCAATTGCACCTCCACTACTAAGGATAAGAAGGGGTGTGGTATTGAAGAGGTGATGAAAGAGCTTCACTTCATAAATGAAGTTTAATTCGGTAGTGAATTACACATATTTTCTATTGAGTTCTTTTGTTTAAAAAGCAAAAGGGAGATGTGGGCACCAATGAGAGATATTGATAGAATGTTATCTTGACTAAAATTAATGTTTGAATGAAATTCAAAGCCTTAGACCTATAAATAAGGTTCTATCCTTTTAAATTACTTATATCATTTTATTATCTTTAAATAATGTTACAACTGACTGTTATTAAATAATATGAGTTGTTTCTATGTCTACAATTTTTTTATTTGCTTATGTAACATGTGTTCTAACTATAACAATTGGTTATTATATTTGTGCAATAAATAATTATAATGTATTTACTATGTAGATTACTTGAGGATTTTATTTATTTTTAATATGGTTTATGAACCATATCTTAACATTAATTCTTCTATTTTAAAAATGTTTGGATAAAAATATGGTGTTGCTTATTTACTATATACTTTTTATAAGATAGCTATGGTTGAAGTGAATCACAATGACCTCATTGCACAGTGAATGTATTATAGTTGTTATGCTAGTTTTTTTGTTATTTTAGGTAAGCCAACCTTTCATTGTGTTCACTGTAATATGAATTTGCTTAAGTCAATTATTATAACATACCTGTAACTACCTTACTATTATGTATATATTGGAACTTGTTTACTTAATAGTCTAATGGTTAGAACCACAAAACTTATAGTATTATTGTATTTGAGGAAGAACTTTATGTGAGAATAGTAACTTTTGAAAATTAGTTTGACAAATTCAACAACTAATGTTCAACTATGTTTATACATGTATTCATTCCTATACAATTGTTGTATTGTAGTAGTGGTTATAATGTCACTTTTAAAACTAATATTTCATATTGTTAGTTTGAAGCTTGCTACAAAGTATTCTTTTTTAAACTACACACACAAGTTAATTACCCTTTTTATTTCTTGAATTATCAAATTATCACTATCATTATAGTAATTGAATGATGCATTTCAAATACATCATTTTTGTTTGTTTATTGATGGTTAGATATTTGTACTGCAAGTGAAAGTAACCACTATATTTTAATAAATACAAGTTTGTAGGTATATTGCATTTAAAATATAACAAGATAGGTATTGTTTAGTGATAATTGGAAAGTGAATACAATATCTATATAGTTTAAAGCTATACAATTTTAGAATTTCAGTATTCATTTTTATCTTCCTTGTACATGGAAACCTTGAAATTTGAGTAATATCTTATTCTATTTTCTAGATTTTTTTTTATTAGAAGGAGAAAATATGATGAAATTTATTTTGTATGTAATGTTTAATACTTAAATCATGCTGTAATTAATACACCTTTCAAGTTTTAAATTTTATATCAGTATAACAATTAATACACCTTGTAGCTAATATACACCTTGCAGGCAGCCAAGGTCTTGAGAGATAGGGAAGAAAGGTCCAAAGTGTTTTTTTCTTGAATTTTAGTTAGCATGATCAAATCGAAAGGTCTAAAGTTGGCATTATCATTAAAAAGATTTGAAATCAATTTAGAGTTCAATTTGATATGAAATTAATTTGCTTAAGGTTTTTTTTTTAATAAATTAATTGAAATAATAAATATTTGGATTCTCTCAATTGTGCAATGTGTTGTAGTCATAAAACTTATAAAAGTAATATTAAAAATACAACACAAAATTAAAATATTGAAAATAAACTAATAGAAAAAAAGCCAAAATATTAAGGACTACTCTAACATTCATTACCGAGAAAACTAAAGCAATCATGATAAATTATTCTCTACCTATGTTGTTATGTTTTATAGAACTAATTGTATATTACACATAAAACCAAACAAACCTTAATGCTTATAGGAAGGTAAAATATAGTTATATTTGTTATTTCTAGTTTCATTATAGGTTAAATATCTAGTTCCTTATTGAACCTTCTATTATCTCTATTTTTTTTAATTTTGAATTTTTTAATTTTTTTAAAAAATACATCTCACAACTTCAAAATATAAGTAAGTAATTATGTTTAATTATTATCATATTTGTAATAAAATTTTCCAAGAAAATCATAAATTAATTTCTTGTTAGTTATTTTGCTTTTATTTTTTGTAACTATTAGTTTCTTATAATTTATTGTACTCATAAATACAAGAAATTATCTCATTTTATAGATATGAATGCCCTAATAGTTTAATGCTCTATTTCATGGAGATTATGATAATGTAATAAATCATGTTGTTAATTATGTTATGATAAAATAATGAATTATGTTGTTAATTATGATAATAGTGGCAGTAATGATAATGGTATTGGTGATGAATACAAATGATGATGATGTTGATAATGACGATGATAAAAAATGCTTTTGATAAGGAAGGTGAATCATTTTAAAGGAGAGAGTTTATTCATTGAAAACTGGCATTATGCACAGCCCGAACTCTCTCAATGTGCTATAATAATTATGTATATAAAGAACATTGTATGGTTTCATACAACACAAGAATATGATGGTTGAATGAAATTTTACTTAGACATTGGAAACGATTTGTAAACATGTTTAAAATGGATGCAATGATATTTCAAACTCTATGCTTTGATTTAGAAAGCCAATATGGGTTAAGAGCTTTAAAAATGACGAGTGTTACTGAAAAGGTAGACATTTTTCTATATACATTAGCATTAAATCCCATAAATAGAGTAGTTCATGAAAGATTTCAACACCTAGAAGAAACTATGAGTAAACATTTTAATAAAGTTCTAAGAGTAGTTTGTTTACTCGCAGTAGATATTATAAAACTAGAAGATCTTAAATTTG